AAAAAGTGATATCACCAAATAAAGTACATTGTTTCTCTTTGTGAACCCTAGGCACTATAAAAGTTAGTCTATTGACAGCATCCCTAGCACTTGTGATACTACTCATGCTCTTAATTGTGGTTTTCATCTCATGGAAAAAAAGAAAAAAGCATGACCGAAGAAACAACCAGTAAGTACTAAAATCCGTGTAATAGAGTACAAACATTAAATGTGTGCAACACTTTCCACTATTTACTACAAAATAGTGTTAATTAAACAATAGAAAACAATCGAATTAGCATAATTTAGCAGTATTTAGTGGTATTTATGTTGCACAGTTTTAGTGTTTGTACTCTAGTACGATTAAACAAAAATAGCAATATTTCGGCTACCTTAATGAGTTCTGAAAAATTGAAAATTTCATCAATAACTTTTCTCGCTTTCTTTAGGAATGAAGATGCAGTTTACTGTGTAAGTATATTTCTTATTGGTCATTCAAAAAATTGCAATACCGTTGGACATACAGCTCTGGTTTATCTAACATTCCCACTTTTAAGTGGAAATTTAAATTTCAAAGTCAAAATGCGAAAGTGAATCACCAAAGAAACAGCTATAGCCTGAAATAAATTCTGGATTATAGAATGAATGCAGATATATCTATTAGTTAAACTCAACACCCGATGTTACTTAACAGAATGTGAATGCCCATGGGATGACATCTTTTTCTTCGTCTGCAAATCAGCCAGTTCTAAACATTCAAGTAGGCGTAGCACCTCAAGGAATACCCGAGCGATCAGATGTACCATTTCAAAATCAAACGCATGGGAATACAGAAATGAGAAGGCCAAATCAAGAGCATTACCAACAACTTAGCCTTGACATTGTACATAGTCAGAAAGCCGCAGCACCAAGATACGAGCCGCTACGTAAAACGTTCAACGATACTGATGAAAGCTATCAGCATGACACCTACCAATCATTGTGTAATTGTCCAAGTGTTTACCAGAGCTTGCACACCAACTAGATAGGCGTCATTAATTCCAGTTCCAGGGAAATACATTTTAGAAATTCAAATATATGATTTCCTGGGAAACTTAGAGCTAAAGTCAGGATCCATATGAACAAACGTTATGAATAGCTTCTATTGTGGGATCATATTAGAATTGCATTAAAAAGCTTTATTCTCGGTCTGAAAACACACTGATTAATTTGCTTTATGCTATTAGTGGGTAACTAAGGCTGAATATCTGTACTTTTTGGCTTAAAAATGAATCTAGACTATTTAACGTAATGAAATTCAACATTCTATACTTCTGCTATTTTCAAATAGCTTCATGATGCCGCCATGAATGGGAATCACCGTAGAGTGGTAGTGTAATTAAGGTTTATAAAAAGCTAGTATATATACCTTTTTTAATCAATGCCCTGTAGCATCCGATTTAATCTTAGTTTCAGTGTAATTTTAGAATTCCAGAACATGTAAAACAACAATGTTTGAGGATAACACATTC